AATTTTTACGGTATTTGAATTAGAATTCATGAAAATTCAATTATTTTCTATTTTTAATAATGTATTAACACTTCAACTACTATCCTGCAGGTACTCTAATTTTTTTCTACTATTCCTATTTTATTTCTATTATTTATTATCCCAGGTACTTAATTAGGAATATTTTCAACTGTAACATTGGTGACTTTAGTCTAGCACCCAACAATACAATTATAATTTTAATATCTCTGACTACATATGGCCTTTTCAACTATAGCATCATCCATATAATATCAATCATCCAATCATTCCTATTCCCTGAATTGAACGTTTTAAAATAAATATCATTGGATCATTCTTCCAACATTCATCGATTAACCCTTTCTTCAATTAGGACCATAATTAATAGTGAAAGGGTTGAAAGAATTTTGTCTGCACAGTGGTTGATTAAATCATTGGATCATTCTTCCAGCATTCATCGATTAACCCTTTCTTCAATTAGGACCATAATTAATAGTGAAAGGGTTGAAAGAATTTTGTCTGCACAGTGGTTGATTAACTCGGCGCACGTGCGACTGCAGATTTGGTAGAGCAGCAGGAGGCCTTACAACGTAACCCTGAACTCTGGTACATCGATCTACCGCAATGCAACGAGCGGGAACGGTGTACAAAGTCTCCTCGACTAAAAAGAGCCAGGGAAGAAAGAAGAAAGTCGAGTGGTACGGTGATAAGAATGCTGGACTTTCAATTTTGATTAACCCTTGCCTACTAGGACCTGGAGGACCACGGTTGCTATTATAATCCTTTCCATTTTCCATCCGTTCAGATTGTTCTTGCAGACAGTTTGCTTCTTCAGGGTTGACCTGAATCGACGAGGAAAAAAAAAAAAATTATGTGAGAAACTTTGAAACTTTCTTTGGACTTTCTGAAAGGCTGACGAGGGTTAAAGGCATTCAAATGGAATTTCGGATAAAATTCTGAGCTATTTTCAAATAACACAGTTTTGGAGAACTTTCAAACTCTTCTGAGATTGTTAATCTTTGAAGTGATGGATTAATTAGATTTCATAGTAACATCCACTGGGAGGTGATTAAAGAACACTCCTTGTTCGATGGAGGATAAAATTGCCTTAGTTCCAGCACTTTTTTCCCCTCGCGACAAAGTATGACAGTCTCTAAACTTCCATACTATTATCCCAACTGTGCACCGCTAGGTTTTAATAGATTTATTCCTTAATGCAAGTTAGATTCAATTTTTATGTAAACTTTCTAGAAACTTGACACGAGTGTGTATACACCGGGGAAGAGAATTGCGTATTGAAGTATACTAAGAGAAAAGTAATTCATAGAAGAAGGAATTAATTTTGGATGAAATTTTCAGTGAGAAACTTGAGTCAACTTTGCAGTTTAAAAACATTGAAAATCATGACAGAAAAGTATCACCAAATTGCACTTATAAGGTATCAATTTAAAGCTTAAAGTTCAATAACAAATTCTACATAAAGGTTTCATCGATATTTTCAACACAAAATGGCTGATTGTCAATTGTACCAAACAATCAATAAGTGGGTTCATTGTTTGTTCCAATGAAGAATCAGCCATTTTGTGTCACAAATATTGATGAATCCTTTATGTAGTTATATTCTTTGAACTTTAAGCTTCAAATTGATGTACCATAAGTATAATTTTGTAATACTTTTCTGTCATGAAATTGCTTCCTTACTTTTCATTAAATTCTTCAGAAATAAACACAGATTAACAGTTAACCATGGCAACGGACGAATAAATCAAGAAAAGAAATTGCTTCAGGTTTCTAGAAGGAAGAAAACAACGAGGAATAACATCCTGGTGAGACGTTTCGCTTCGTCGGGGAGGATAGTCTGCCAAAAACCTTGGAAAACTGGAGAATTTAACTAGAAGGAAACGTTCCTTTCCCTGGACACTGCACCAGGCGATTATCCTTTCTTCCAGGAGCTTCACAATTATCTGAACAACGAAAAGAAATTCAACATCCAACCGAGTGTCTCGTTTCCTGTGAACATTCTTAATGGACTAAAGAAAAAGTGAAGAAAATAGAAGAATTTCTCTTTTCAAGAGTTTCACTTTGACTGCCACAGTAGAAATACACCAGTTTAATCAGACACACTAAAGAATGTTAATTCTCAAATTTTTGAAAAGAAGGAACTTTCTACTGTAGCCACTTACATCAAACAATTTCAACTTTGAAGTCTTCCATTAAATCTACTCATTTTCCATTAATCCATATAAACTTCCTAGTTCCTTATCCCTCAGCTCATCCTTAATAAAATTAAACAAACTAGTAATTAATCTGATAATCAATTAGTAGAATAATATTAAAATTTATTCCATTACTTTGTCTAAATTTCTTAATTACAGAAAATTTAAGAGCCTGATTAATCAGACATACTAAAAATCTTAATTTTCAAATTTTTCAAATTACATTATTACCTAATATATTGCCAATAATATTCAAGGTTTGCTTTTTTTTCTCTTCTCCTAGTAATTCAATTATATAAAGTTTGAGGCTCCAGTGACTAGCATGCCAGTGAATGTGTTAATTCTTATCAAGTTTCTAATTACTATATTACTCTGGAACACGTTGAAAATCGAGGATTACCATGGTTGAACGAAGCACAGGTACAGACTATAAAATTATAATTACTCAGGACCTGATTAATTAGCTGATCCTCTTTCATGGAAGAGTATAAAGCAAGGTAAACAGCAGCCTGGAATGGATGATACGTTCCTTGACGTTCGAGCCTTAAACGTCGACTAATTAACAGAAATAATTTGCATAATGAAACGAGAGAAATGCGTCTAGACAAGAATTTAATCTCGTGTGGAATTCAGAATTCATTCTGAAGATACGAATATTAATTTTTCTTTTTTTCCATTCCTCCAACGTTGTAGGAGAGAAGATAGAGTTCAAGGTAAGGAAGGCATTTGAAAAGCAGAGTACCAAAATCCAAGGGATTAAAAGCAACCTATCACGGCCAGCCTTCCGTGAATTTCCAGCTTAGTTAACAAGGTTTCTTGGTTTTCGTTCTTGAAAAAAGGAACAGAAAACCGACACGCCTGGTAAAACGGGTCAAGTACGAATTCATGCGTCTGACCGCACGCTTACTTGTTCCACTAGCGCACAGTGAAAACAAGCGGTGCCTAGTACGCCGGATCCACTGTTATTCAACCTATCAACACGTCCTCTCATATGTGAGCAACGATTTAATTCTTACAGGACCCATATGTTCCATGAGTTATAGTTGAAAATATTCCTAATTAAGCACCTGGAATAGTAAATAATAGAAATAAAATAGAAAAAATTTATTAAAAATAAAAATATAATAAAATTAGAGTACCTGCAGCATAGTAGTTGAAGTGTTGATACATTATTAGAAATAGAAAATAATTGAATTTTCATGAATTCTAATTCAAAATTATTTAACGATCAATATGAATATAGAAATTTAAATTTAATCGAATTGATTAATCCTTCCTGGTCAATTCTATTTTAATTTTAAATATTCCTAATTAAGCATCTGGAATAATAAATAATAGAAATAAAATAGAAAAAATTTATTAAAAATAAAAATATAATAAAATTAGAGTACCTGCAGCACAGTAGTTGAAGTGTTCATACATTATTAGAAATAGAAAATAATTGAACTTTCATGAATTCTAATTCAAAATTATTTAACGATCAATATAAATATAGAAATTTAAATTTAATCGAATTGATTAATCCTTCCTGGTCAATTCTATTTTGATTTTAAAATTTCTGAAGTAAAGTAATATAAAAAGTAATATAGTAATGTTAGTAATATTAGTAATATAATAAAAATAATATAGTAATATTATAGTAATATAGTAATATAAAAATCGACACTGGAACCATTGATACAGTTCAGCAGAGATACAGTATAATAATCATCATTATCTTTAATCCGCGATAGATAACAATAATCCTGAATGGCTTCTCGTACCCTTTTTCCCCAGACAATGTATACGTGCATGAAATTTAATGGAAGCACACCGATAGCCCGATGCGAATGTATCAGGTCGCTATTCATAATATACGTGTACCATTAGGCCATAAAAAAACTGCTAGTGTCCCTCGTTTCGAAATGAATCCAACTGCAATTTAATTCCACCCACTATTGGATTTATAGTTGCAATATGTTCCTCGTATATCTTTTTTTCTAACCATACATTGGGCATGAAACTTTCAATTTGCAGGGCGGCCCCTGGGCCTAGGCAGACTAGGCGGCCGCCTAGAATCCCCTAGGGCGGGCCCGCCTAGGGTCCCCTAGGGCACGCCTAGGGTTCCTTAAGAATGCAAGAAGAGTAATTTTTACTTGAATATTAATCGATATAAATCTAAATTAGTTACACAAACTTTAATATTAATTCTATAAATTTTATTTGAGGTACTTTTTTATGTCATATATGTAAAGTCCTTTTTCGGAAATCTCAGGGCCGACCAGGTCAATTTATACCATTTTTTGAATCGTACAAATTGCATTATTCTTTTTTTTTTTAAGCTCGAGCACCGCGGTTGTTAAATGAAAGAGAGAAATAAAACTGATGCGAAAGTAAGAGACAATATCCTGTCAGCTTTTCGTCCATAAAAGCGCGACGCCGGGGAAAGGAAGATTGAAAAACTGAGAAGAATGGCTCGGGACGATGATACATCGTAGACAAAAGCAATTCTGGATCCTCGCTGGTTTTATGTGTTTTCGAACGACAGCTTCTGTAAATGGCCATCTGGATGCGAGGCTTTTCTCGAAAAACAATCTCTCTATCAAATAAATTCCAGTTTCGTATCAATTTTCAGTTTCGCGAACAATGGTGAATCTTTGTACTTGTATATTCATGGGCAAAGGAACGAAGCAATTAATTGAAATATTTTTTAATTTTCATTCAGCTACCGGAGGTGAAGACTGTAAAAGAAGAGGGTACAAAGGATCATTTGCTTGCCGTTTTGAATAATGAACGAGGACTTACCTCGTTTCTTCTACCCCGTGGTCGACGATCACCGCGGCTCAGCTCGTCCACGGCACAAAGAATCACAGTTCACAGCGGGAATAGTACTAGGTTAACTAATCCGAAACGCTCATTTGCTCGTGTTCGACGCACTGGCTGCCTTCGGCTGGTACACCTTGGAGGCTGATAACGATACAACGTTAACGATGATGCTCGTTAAGCCATGCACACCCGGGTTCTAGACAGGTCTACGTATAGACAGATTCTGCGAGTGTACGTCCCTCAATGCGATTCACACGGCATCCTTTTGCCTCTGTAATCTTCCAGTGCGACAGCATTCGCCTCCGGTTACGTTCCAAGCTAACCTATCTTCTAATTCTAGCCCGTCTTCTCTAACCTCGTATCGTAACACGACACTCTTCTGCAACTAGGTTAAAATGATATGTTTGATTCGCCGCCAGTCGGTTCGACCCTCTCAGTTTTCCTCAGCCCGGATCTTCTTCGGTTTTTATAACGCGTTCAACGTTCCTGGAAAAACGCGCCTTGCTCTTCCTACAACTAACGAAAATTCCGGCACCACACGACTCTCTCTCGCTCTCGCGCTCGCTCGCTCGCTCTTACGACACACACGGGCTCCCGGTGCTGCTGGCCAGAGTCACATTTTAGTGCGACACACACGGGTGGCGGTGCGCCGTGGGGTTACACTCTCTTTCGCCTCGAGTCTCTATTTCTCTCTCCCTTCAACCCGTACGCCCGCCTTTATCACTGGCTCAGCCCGCCCCTGTGCTTCTAGGCCGAGCCCCACCATGACACCTACCAACCCTTCCACGACCAGCTACCCCCTCGTGATACACCCTGCCGTTGGAGGGGCTGGCGATGGGTTTGATTCGCTCTGGCAACGTGCCTTGAACTACCTTATTTAAAATAATAAAATATTGTTGAAAAATTCAATTAATTGCCTCTATTTTTATTGGTCAGTAGTTTAATCCCCTTTGGACAGTATTTTAATCCTTTGGTCAGTATCCTTCCATACTGACCTTCCATACTAATCTTCATGGACTCTAAAATCCCCACGGCGGTCCTATATCTGGCGCGGTGGGAGGGGCTCTGGGACCTCTGATGAACACACCAGTGCCCTTTGCGCCTCACGCATCTCGCACACGACTCGGAGGGGGTCAAGAGGAGCATCCTCATCCTCATATGTACCTGCCGGTACCAGAGACCACCACTGACACCGGCCTCCGCTGGGCCGTAATGACCTTTTCTTTCGTGGGGAAATCTTCGAAAGACGCCCCCAGCCCCCCTGGGGGAGGGGCCAGGGGTAGTGCCGGATTTTTACCGGCTAAAACCCCCCACGGTGACCTGCATTGGGCGTTAGGGAGAGCCCCGCAATCTCTGTCGAACGCGTCGAGACCCCCCCACCCTTGGCGCGTTTGCGCCCCATCTCGGGGGAGGGTCTAACCTTTGACCCTCCACCTGTGTACCAACCCCGCCGACGCCGAGGGCCACACCCGACGCCGGCCACTCCTCGGGCCGCGTGCAGTGGCGACCGGGGCCCCAGCTCCGCCCGCCTGTGGCCCAGCGACTCCACTAAGGAGCCGCCAATCTGCGATAGGGGAGGCCGAGGCCTCCCCCCAATACATCTACCTTAGGGAGAAGCCGAAGTTCCCCCCCTCATCCTGTTGGGGGCGGTGGGCAGAATTATCAAGGCCCCGTTGAGCCGTAATGACCTAACCTAACCTATCCGTTTAGTATTTTTATACCGACCATTTTGGTAATAAAGTACTGACCGAAAATGGATTTAAATACTGACCATTCAATTTGTTGCCTATATAGAATCAACTTTACCTGATGGGTTTGTATTTTAGATATTCTAGATATTGTATAAGAAGTGTAATAGATTGCAATGTAACATTAAGATTGTTGGATATTATGGGATATTTTAATAAAATAATACTATATTCGTTACGAACAGATCTTTATTCTTCAAGGGCTACAGAGCAACTGGGATCGTAAGAGGCATAAGGCATAAGGCAAGGACAAAAGAAAAGATCAAATGACACTTCTCGCTATCGCTATCCTATGAACAAAATTCGGTGCACTGATTTGAAGCCACTGTGCTTCACCAGAAAAGTGAAACTGGGCACAATAACGTTACTCATTTCAGTTTTTGTTATATTTTATTATAGGATTTCCAACAAAGATATTGTAAATTCTGTGATTGTACGATGTTGGAGAAAATGCCTGACCAGGGCCGGCCCTGGGCCCAGGCAGACTAGGCGGCCGCCTAGGGCCCCACAAGGGTCATATATGTGAAGGGGCCTTTTTTCGGAGCTCGCCTCGGACCCCCGAAATCTCGGGGCCGGCCCTGCGTCTGACCATTGATTGAGTACATCACTAGCGCCTACTGAAACATCCCCACCAGATGACACGCCGCTGATGCTGTGCTACGCTTCCCCTTCCTAGACCGATAAAATGCGGTGGTGTACAATTTCTAGGGGGTGCCTGGTTCCTAAGAAACTCTACAAAGGGATCATGGTATATTATGATGGTATTTGATACCATCTAAAATTCAAAATGTTCCAAATTAATCTCTACAATAATTTAAATATAATAAAATAAAACAGATAATTATTAACAATTTTTACTATTAATATTAATCAATAATTTATCGAGAATGAAAATTTCAAAATTCTTCAAGTTCTTGAATTATAGTTCTCGAGGGGTCCTTGAGAAGAGTAGGAACCAGAAAGTATACGCGACTGGTGGCATCCCTACGAGGACAGTTTACCCCCGTTCACCGAGCCACCCCTTCCGCATCGTGGCTTGGAAAGCTCCCCTGGCTCAATGGTGTACGCAGACGTGCTATCTAGATACGTCTATCTAGATCGTGTCTGCCCCTTTCTGGGCTGGTTGAATGGACAGGACTTGTTTTGATCCGACTGCTCGCCCGTAAGCCAGTAAATCGGTAGCCAAGGCGAGACGAAAGCTAACAAGCTCGCCGGAGATGTACAGACAACGACACCGGCTGCTTCAGATAATATTGAAGATCCTTCCGAATGATACTACGAACCGGAACATCCTGAGCATTGAAGTTGCAAGGGACGAGAATTATTCCTATGAAAATTACTTGAATTTGAAATCCATTTCTCCTTTCAATTATTGTAATGAAGCAAAATAAGGGAGATTCTTATAATTTGTTGTTTCAAATGAAAATAATTGAAATGTTCTCAATAATCAACCACCTTTTTTCCTTTTTATTTTTATTCAGAATTGAAAGAAAGTACTTGTGAGATGTTATTCTACAGGCCTCTCATTGATCCTCCTGTATCTACTTTTCATTTCCAGGGACGAAACTAAAGCGTTCATAGAATAGTCGATCAATAGATTTCATAATTATAGTAAATGGGTTGAATTATTCGCTCCTCGGAGACTTTCGAGTTGAGTACTCCGAAAACTATGCGAGGCAAACTGTCCTGTTCTGTTCCAGCTTTCACTCCTAACGTGGCGGTTCCGGGCAGGGCTGTAGCCTTAAAGGGAACGGGGGTTGAAAGTGCCTTAAAAAAAATGAAGAACCTTTTTCATTCAAAAGGAGGTTTGTATATTCTGGACTGAAAACGGTAGAAACGGAGTCAAGAATTATATCATCTTACATTTTGTAGCTAAATAAAGGAAAACTAGATCCAATTTGTATGGTACATTTAAGAGCAGCTCAGACGACAGCCCTGCTTTCCGCCCACCTTGATCGTGCCTCGTTACATTCGCCCCTCTCTTCAAACAACTCTCCCACTTGCCACAGAAAGGATTCTCCTATTGACGTTCCACCCCCTCCACTACTCTTCCTGCGCCCCTCTTCTTTGTCGTCCTTTCCAGCACACCCACGCGTACTATCCCCCTTGCGTACCACGGGCCACGTTCTGACGTAACGTTGTTACGTCAGGACAACGTCGTACGCCGGCGCATTTGGGATCCTTCGATGCACCTGCGAGTCTCACCTTTTATTAGGCGCGTCTACGAACCTGCCCGCATTCCATATTGGGCAGACTGAAACCTCCCCTAGTACGTACAGGAAGAGCATTTAGGGATTTCCGCATTTTACCCAGTGTCTAAAATGCAATATATAGGGTATCTCAGAATTCGTGTAACATCCGGAAATGGGGGATTGCTGGGGTGATTCTGAATAACTTTTTCCTTTACCAAAATGTTGCTTGAAGCTTCGTTTTTGAGTTATTAACGAAAAACACTGGCCAATCAGAGCGCGCGCTCAACGCCAGGAGCGTTGGCTCTAAACCGCGCTCGATCATGGTCGTGAACAAATGTATTGACAAACGCATTCGTTGTTTATGAAGAACGAATAATTTCACATTGTTCTTAATTTAAGACGATTAACATTTGTCGCACGCTTCCCTCGACACCCACGCTGTGCCAATGCGTTTGTTCACGATCATGATCGAACATGGTCGAAAGCCAACGCTTTCGTGGTTGGGCGCGCGCTCTACGCGTGCTCTGATTGGTCAGTGTTTTTCGTTAATAACTCAAAAACGAAGCTTCAACCAACATTTTGGTAAAGGAAAAAGTTGTTCAGAATCACCCCAGCAAACCCCCATTTCCGGGTGTTGCGCGAATTCTAGGACCCTGTATTTTATTAGATAAATTTATTGAGAGATTTGGTTGCCTATTTTCAATATCAATTGTTGCACTGGGCCCTGGAAACTCCATAGACGAATCTGATTCGAAACGCAAAAATTAGGCTTCGGTAATACGAGAATACCATTAACGAGAACGCGATAAATCGATGAATATTTTTCAGAGAAAAATCAACTTAAATTTTATGCTACAATTGTACGCTATAATAACTCTATTGCAGTATTATGTATCATGGCGTTCATTTTGTTCATATAATAAGTTGCAATAAAATTCGACTAATCTATCATAATTTATTATTATAAAAATAATAATTGTTACTTGTCGGTTGAAACTAAAAAACGGTTAGACTTTCGAACATATTCGAAACTGTCTTTTCGTTCGTTTCGATAAATCGCATATACTTCGATATATCAACAATCGATAAGCAAATTAAATACTTCGATTTTTGAACTATTCACCACTCTGCGAATTAATTATTATGGAAGGTTAAATAATGTTTACATATTTATGTATATTATATTAACTGTTCGTTAAAAAATGAAATGAAAAGAATATGTTTTTGCAGCATCTCAAATCATTAACCATCCGTTCGTTTGAACATTAAGTGTTATTTAATACAAAAGGTTAATGATCAAATAAAGAAAATATGCTGCGTTTAGCAATAAATAGAGGAGTAGCTCCAGTAGCCTTGTTACCATTTTTCGGTGGACCAAGTCAAAATGACGCTGTACCCGAAGATAAATTAGCTGAAATAACCCCAATGAAGGTTGGCATGGACAAAGTGAAAGACTTTTTCATTGACGAGTAAGAATACTTTAATTCAGCTTCAAACAGAAATATCATCCTTTGTAAACCTCATCTAACTGCATTATTTTGTTCGAATAGAAATGGTTCTACTACTAAAGAGTTACAGTCTGTTATAAATACAACAGCTGCAGGCATGGTAGTTGGATTTATTACAGGCGGAGTAGCTAGATCAAGATTTGTTACAGAAAATTTTATAGCGGACAATCAAGCAACCATATTTAAGAATCACTACGAGGCCAAAAAACTATTGCATTATAAAGTAGCTGTGGCAATTTGCAAAGGAGGTTTACCGTTTAGTCTTAAACTTGGAACATTTTGTTTCTTATTCTCGTAAGATTAAGAATAATCATATATTCTTATGTTATGATTACATAAAGTAATATAGAGTTTTCTATAGGGGTACAGCTGCAGCTTTACAAGTATATAAAGGAAAATTTGATCCATGGAACCATGTTATTGGTGGTGCCATAGCAGGTGCTGTGTACAAAACGAACATGGGATTGAAAGGAGCAGTTGCGGGTTGTGTTCTTGGGACTATATTAGGTGCTATATCCGGTTCTGTAGCATCAATAATATTATATATAACTGGAACAGAAATGGGCGATCTATACAAAGCGAGTAACAAATGGATAAATACAAGACAAAAGTAATTATGCAGCTGATTTTACAAAATTTTCAACTGTTTTATTCGTCTTAAATATTAACATTATCAACAATTTCTATTTCATAGGATTATTCTTGAACAGAGACAGTTTTTGAACGAGGAACATAAACAGTTCAAGCAGGCATATGATGACCATCAAAATATGAGAAAAGCGATGTATGGAGATGAAAAGCAAGAACAATAAAATTTAAAGAAAAATTTTAATAATAGTTTAGTATGTTTAATCAACATACGCCTTGATTTGTATAAACATTGAATTATAACATATTGTACAATAATATATAGATGTATATATATAAATAATAATAATAATACGTTAAAGAAAAAATAATTTTGGACTCCAATTACATTATACAAACTTTTAAAAGGGAAAATAATCACACCTGATGCTACTGAGAAATTAATGAATCACACAAGTTTTTATATAATATAAATCATTGTTATAAACATTCCATATTTACATCCCAATAATTCTCTGCGTATGAAATTAAATAAATTATAAGCAGTTTAGAACTGCAGTTACAGAATAGGCCTGATATTTAGAAAAAGAATTCTAATTCTGCTGAATTCATTTCAAAATGTAATGTAATAAATAATAATAATAATTGATTATGAAGCGAACAATACTATTTGGTAAGAAATAAGCAAGGTGAAACAAACATCACTCGATGAAAAAGGAACAAAATATATATATGATATGCACACGTATATCTTATTAGCTTAGTTCAACAAATTTTAAAAATATTTCATTTAGATCTCTTGTTCCGAAGTTCCTATATCTTGAACCTTGGTTAAACGCTTTGCACCTCTGCCTGGTGGACCCTTAGGTTTTGCAAATTTTGGCTGATGTAAACTGATTTTTGGATGTAATTCCTCTTGGAAAAATTCTTCAGTTAGTTCTTTCCCATCATCTATTTCAAGCTATACAATCAACACATTTTAATGGATAATTATTACATTGCATTAAAAACCAGAAAAAAAAGAGATTATGAACATTTAACTTCATAGGCCTATTCTGTAAGCTGAATATATCTTAAAGATATCTTAAGGTCTTAACTGTAATTACATACCCATCCAAGGATCGAGTCACCGTGTGCTCCTTAGAAACCTATTAAATTCTATACAAAGTAAATTATAACGAGTGATGGTTAAAGAAATGTGCTTTATACTATCTTATCAAAGATTAAAACAACAAACTGCAAGATTAAATTGCATAATGCTTTATTATTTGTAGCATGTTTAATATTGGCAAGATATACAATTTATTCGATAATGAACCTATAATTATATACTAACAGGTTGGAAATAAAGATATACTAAAAACTTACAGAATAGGCCTGGTACAATGTTATAAATTAAACTATGTCCAGGCTAACAATGTGCGTGGTTTCTAAATATGGAACACATTTTAACAGTTTTTGAGCATTTTGCAAAAAGCTTTTCTTTGTTTCTTCTTTCTTTCTTTTTTTAATTAGTATACATGTGTGTGCCAAATTCTATATTTCACAAGTAACAATAAAATGTTGAGAAAGGTGGAATAAAATAGCATGAACAATATAGAACTAGTAAGTTATGAGTACATTAAGATTCGAGACATAAGCAACATTTTTGGAAATATTATATTTTGAGTATAACTTCAGCATCGGTTTAAATATATATATATATATATGTATATATCATCACTCATTTATTATTTAGCTAAACTAAATCAATATCAAGAATTTGGCGCACTTCGTTATCATTATTATCATTAAAATTAGGCCAAATTCTTTCTGGTAATTGTTCATTTGTGTTGTGGACGAAAATTTTTAAAAAGTTTATAAAAAGCTACGAGAGTTAAAAAAATACAGATCACGAAAAATAGAATGCTCTTGAATATCTTGTTGCTGGCTATCAGATTTATAGTCCCATTTGCTATACATTTTGTATAAGGAATGTATTTAAGGAATTTAAAAATACATTTTCCTTTGGAAGATAGTTAATATAACTTATCACAATTGATTGTGCAACATTCATTAAATCATACCTCAGTGCATACATATTTCTTTTCCTTTTATATAAAAACATTTGTTTGCTTTGTCATAAACTGAGTATTATATTTTATACCATTTAGATTACTCGAACTTGGAAAGTAGGAGAAAAACGATTAACAAAAAAAGATTGGAAGAAGTTTGGAAAACACTTCAACCTATATGAATTTGAACACCACAAGATTTCTAGACTATACAGCCAATGGGACATACCAAGATCAGTCTTCGTACACATATTTGTGGAATCTAATATTTTGTATCATTTACAATAATATAGAACATGATATATAATTTAATACATATGTAAAGTAACTAGTATTATCACTAGTTTGCATTAAAAAATGATAATTGTGTGCAAAGAAAATATATCCACATTTCATTGTGGTATTTGCACATATATATCACTTGTCTGCTATATTTTCATATATTTATGCAGAGAAGTTAGGTGAGTGGCATCAACTAACTAGAGCGCATGGAATTTTCCCTAACTCTCTCTCTCTCTCTTTTTCTCTAATAATCACATAAGGTATGCAAGTTACCACAGATATTTGTTTAAAACACTCTATTCTATATCACTAATTTCTATGCAAGTGCCTGACCGAATTTGAAAGTCAAGCCTTCAAGTTTCACTTAATAAAATTACAAATACGAAAATGAGACTTATAATATATATCACTTTTCATTGGACTAGGAACTAATTCACACAGTCAACTCACTGGACTTTTTATACATCTGAAACATAAATATTAAAAATATAGGAATCATAATGTAAACTATAAAATGAGTAAAGGAACTATATATATGTATATATATATATATGAAAAAAATATTACTTTTACAAGACTTTTATGTAAGTTCTGTCCATCTCAGACATTGATATACATAATTAGAAATGCAAAATCAAGTAGAAGGCTTCACTTTCAACGTCAAGCAACTGAATCTCATTGCATGTTTATAGTATTCTTGATGCGAATGAACAACCGTTCATTGCAATACAATACGAATCAACAAGACATCTTATGGAGTTGTAAATGTCATTGATCTCTTACAGTTATCAAAAGCTATTTCAATAAGATCTTAACATGACAATTTTGTTTTTAAAATTTAGAAAAATACACTGTTTGGTCTACTCTGACTCGCTATATAGATATATGTATCACTTTGACCAATTAATACTAAATATCAATAAATATTGTTAATTAATAAGAATTTATCCCTATAAAGACATATTAAATTTTTCTCCTCATTTAAATTATTTCAGAACAAGTGTAACTATATATGCTAATATGAAATATTAGAAACCCATTACATTATTTCATACTAAATAACATATCCAGTATCAATACCATACTATCACAAATTCAAAATTCATGAAAGAAGATATTTCATTTGTGCAACATCTTAAAATGCTTTAACACGTGGAAAACATTCAAGAATAATGGCAGACAAAAAAACGGAGAATTGGTTAACTCAAGACACAAGATCTCTTCTGCTTTGATTTTTTCTCAGGTATAGATTGAGTAGGAGCATAGGGCGTTGATGGAGTTGCAGGAGTTATTGCAGCTGTTTCTTTTATGGTTGGAGGATCTTCTAACATGTCTGCCAACTCCTCACCACTATTTACTTCCAACTAGGATTTACCAATTTTTATAGAAAAAAAATACCTTAATTTCAACAATTGTTTATATAAAAAAAGAAATTAACAAAATGAAATAAAATATAAGAAGAGCTATAAAATGTAGTAAAACATATTCTTTGCTTGTAACAAAATAGTAATTACCTAAATAAAGTTGATCAGTTTATCAGTTTTAAATAACTGTACTGATATATTAATGTAAAAACAAATGAAAAGAACAAAATAAGCGATTATAAAAGAAATATTATACCTACTTACTTTTTTTGTTATGCTTACTCCAAGCGACTGTATAAGATCTAGAAGAGGCGCTTTACACGATGAATACAGCATTCTTTCTTTGATACTACAACTATATCCTGGCATACTATATATAAAAACTGCAACACGTACACACATATTATTTAGCAAATGTCTATTGTACTTCTATTTTCTTTTTTTTTTACACGTACCTATACATTCCATGTAATCTCCTTCATGAGTATGCTTAAAATTATAAAGATGATATCTGGCAGAATCTGATGGAACTTTAGTCGGTAGTTTATCCAATGAAACATCACAAGCTGTAACTAAATGTATCTTTTCCTCTTCTAAATCGATCTTCAGTTGAACATATTCGTGTATGCCTTTACCAAGATCTGTGATCGCCTGCTTTGCTTCATCTGTTACAGGAAAAGCAACCCCGCTCAATGTCTGATGTCTCGTTTCCACGCTATAATCAGTAGTGACCGTAGTTTTCTTAAGTTCCGCTAATTCTTCTTCTGCAGTGGTTAACGGTGCCGGAGCAGCATCGTTTCTTTTATATTTATGATAACCTTCTAGCGTTATATCTTCTGGCACTGTACCATGCAATTCTTCTTTTATAGATGCTGTGCCAAATTCCTGTTTCAAAGTAGCTTTAGTAGATGCGTACAGCATCTTTTGCCTAACTGGCGCAGTGTCAGGTGACCACGAAATGAATAACCAATCATACCCGGAATCAGGAGATTTAGTATCGAGTCTATAAAGAATATAGGCAGGTTGATTCTCAACGATCAGAGGTTTAATCATTTTATCATAATCATCTTGCCACTTGTTTGCTGGTTTTGAAAAAGCAGCGGGCGCTAGTTCTTCTACAAAATGGAGATGATTTTTATCTCTTTCAGATACAATCAGATGATAAAGAAAGGAAAATCTTATATGGGTGTTCGAAGATACAAACTTACCGTTTTCAATTGAAACTTTCAACACGCGTATTTTCCCATCCCGGCATTTGGCAAATAATTTCTTGAGTGCATCGTTTGCTGAAACAAATAACTGTCAAGTAGTGTCGATGTCATTGCGAGGGTTTAGGTTAAAAATTCATTAAAATTTAGGCAATGTACAGGAAACATTTAATTAGAATCAATATTATAACGCGGTGATAAACACCTTTGATTCCTGTTTGATGTGACATGTCTTAGAAACGATTCGTTACAATTGTGCTTCGCTTAAAATATGGTAGAAATTAGTAGCGGTTCCTCTCCTTGAGATCAGTGGTGGAAGAACTACCACCACAAGCAGACTGTGTAAATGACTAGAACACGAGAAAAAAAAAAAAATCGAACGAATTCGAAATCGGGAGAAACCACCGATGCAACCTGTGCGGAAGAAAATTTTTAGTAACATAAAATTCAAAAAAACAAAACCGGTGAATTTTTAATAATATTCCATGTAATTCGTTTAATTTTTCAAACTGCATTCGCCATGATTCTTTAAAATAATCAGAATTATTTTATAAAGGAACCGCGGTTCGTGGTTTGGAATCTCCCTAGATTTAGGGAGCTGCGGAGCTGCGCGAGTCAAGTATCCTCGCTGGTGAACTGATGTATAATTAATCGAACCGGTAACAAACGCCTTCGAGTGAGAAATATAAATGACAGAGAATACGCGTTGGGGAAGCGAAGTGCGATGAAATTGGAGAAAATGTGAAATTAACGAAAGAAGGGTTCAGATTCGCTCGGCGGCGAGGAGGATCGAAATAACGAGGAAAGGAAAGAGAGAGAAGACTCGTGATTTTGGATCGCTTGATCGGCCGAACAAAGTGGTAGACGCCGAGGGTCTCATGAGAAAGAGACGAGCTCTGAATGCGTGCTGCGTCATCATAGAATGGGTGAGTGCCGCGGCACGAGAGCTCGACAGAAAAAAAAAAAAAAAAAACATTTATAAATCATAATCTATTTGAAGAGCGCGGGGCGTGTCTTCCACGGGAATGCAACGATTCACGCGCGGTTCTATTTTATATCTATTTCATTTTTCCATCGCTTTAGTCGAGACACGTTTCTCGAATTGCCACTCGATCGATGTGCGGCTTTTCATCGGCTTGATCGTGTGCATTAAAATTGCGACCTAGTGCACACGGTACCCAGGGGCCCCTCAGTCGCGTGTTAGGAATTTCGTATCCCCACTCTAAGCCTCTATTATTTTCTATTTTTCCTTCTTGCGTTTTTCATACGACAGAAGCTTCCAGTTCAGTTCTCTTTGTAAAGTTTCCCCTGCTGCAGTTCCCTTCAGTGACGGATAATGTGTGTTCAAATGGCGATGGTATTCGGTGAAATATTCTTCAGTTTGAAATAGCGTTCCCTTCGATGCTCTGACAAGTTTTACGTCGGAAATTTTCATGAAGTAAGCAAAACGTCTTTGCCGCAATTCACAGATGAATTATTAAAGAAATTTGCATTCATGTTTCATTTGATGCTAATTAAATTAACTGATTTTGAAAATTATCTTATTTCTTGTAGGTGATTAACAATATTATGTAACAAGAAATAAAATTGCATAGCTTGATGTTATTTGTTATTATGCATATATATAATTGTTTATTTATTTATTTTTTTTAAAGACACACAAGGAGGAATGTCCCGCAACACTGGGCCTGGTTTATACGAGTTCCTTATGGAAGCAGAGCTTCAACAATATTATCCTGGAATTCGAGGTATGTACTTTAATAACGTTATCAAACATTCAGGCAAAGAATAACGAGTGACTTATTACTTAATTTAACAGGGGACTTGAAAGTACAGACAACCGCTCAATTGAAATATGTAACAGAAGAAGATTTGAACGCGATTGGAATGAGCAAACCAGAGATGCGTCGTTTAAAGAAGTATTTTCAAAAGCATTTCCCCCAAAATTACCTCTCCAAATTCAAAAAGATGCTGTTACCAAAACGGGAGGAGCCAACGATGGGTGGTTTGACCATGTTACCTGAAGAAAGGCAAGACAGACCACCGATTCGTGTTCCTAATAAACATATGATACCAGCCGATGCTATAATTGTGAACAAAGAACTGGGAACAGGGGAGTTCGGAGTTGTACAGCAGGGTGTTTGGACGAACGACGGGGAGAGGATACAAGTAGCCATTAAGTGTTTGTCGCGAGAAAGAATGCAGAACAATCCCATTGAATTTTTGAAGGAGGCAGCCATAATGCACGCGATAGATCACGAGCACATTGTAAGATTGTACGGGGTAGTTTTGGATACAAATTCCCTGATGCTCGTCACAGAATTGGCACCACTGAGATCGTTACTGGAATGCTTAAAGGAGCCCAGCTTGCGTGCCAGCTTTCCAGTTCTTTCATTATGCGACTTTGCTGTGCAAATAGCAGACGGCATGCAGTATTTGGAAGTGAAGAGACTGATACACCGTGATCTTGCTGCCAGAAATATTTTGGTCTTCTCCAAGAACAAAGTGAAGATATCGGATTTCGGATTGTCCCGTGCTTTGGGTGTGGGTAAAGATTACTATCAAACGAATTTCAATGTGAATCTGAAGCTACCCATAGCCTGGTGCGCTCCAGAATGCATATCTTACTTGAAGTTCACCTCAGCAAGTGACGTATGGGCTTACGGAGTGACATTATGGGAAATGTTCAGCTATGGTTTTCAACCATGGGCAGCACTGACCGGTCATCAAATCTTGGAGGCGATAGACGAACCAAATTTTCAAAGATTGGAGCAACCAGAGTGTTGCCCAAAAGATTATTTCGCCCTCATGCAACAATGCTGGCAGCACGAACCATCGAAGCGACCGAAATTCTCTGAATTAATTAATCTCCTGCCTGATTTGAAACCGGAACAAGTTCAAGCTGTTCAGGACAGCACGGAGACCGGCCAGCTTGTATACAGGCAAGGCGATGTTATCACCGTTCTGGATAAAGGAAGCAGTAATACTTTATGGAAAGGTGTATTGAATAACGGGAAAACTGGCTTCTTTAATCCTGCTCACACGATAGCTTATCTGGGATCTAATCTACCAAGCAATAAACCTGGAGAATTTACACGCGGGGACGGTAAAAATGCCTTCTCCTCCCAGAGACGAAAGATTCGTACGGACATGATTTCTTCACCGCAAGGTGACTTGAAGCACACCGGCCATGTCGGATTGGACGGAGCTTATTTCGGTGATATCGGTTTCCTTGGCGGAAAGTATCCGCATTTACCGCGACAGGTGGTCACTCCGTACAAGCCGCAAGAGGATGTAACAGACAATTCTAGTCAAGCTTTAAACCAAGATGCAAGAAGCACAGAGATGAACAGGGAATTATTAAGGGACAATAGAAACGCTCAGCAAGATAAGCATGGTGTGTATTATTTAAGCCAGGGGTGGCCAAACTTCTGCATACCATGCGCCAATATTTTCACAGACGAGTTCAGATATGCCATATAACTCGAGCACTTTTTATACCTTCTTACGTTTAAGGATTAAGGGTTGAAAAATAGAGATAAGGATAGGATCTGCGTCGCTTAGGGGAGAAAAGAAGTAACTTAATCACGCAATTAAATTAATTAATACATGTAATTAAATTAAAAGTACATATAGGCGCAAAGAGGTAATGCGCTAAGCTTGGCGCATGCGCGACGTTCGGCGCATGCGCAACATTCGACGCATGCGCCACGGTCCGGCCGCCCCTGATTTAAATTAAAAGTGTAGTAACAGAATGTCTGACGTTAACGATGAATTTTTCTTTGTTAGAAAATTTGTGGTCAGATGCAAGTTCTGAAGTATGCCACATGGCTAATTCGAGTAAACAATCTGTTTCGTTAAATGTAGCTGGCAACAATGATTCTCTTGGAGCGGATCACGAATATCACGAGATCAGCGATGAAGAAAATCAAGATAGCCCTTTAAGATTTGACAAAACGTTGAATTTCGATTTTGGTCCAAGTTTGTTGGCTGAAATGGATCAAATGTTCAGATCACTAGGTAATTCAGGGGACATGAATTGAATATCTTAATTATTTCAATAGTAATGTACATTTATATTTGTTCGATAGGCTCTTCACCTCCTCCGCCACCTCCTGTTCATCCTTTGTCCACTGAACATGAATCGAGTAATGTCAGGAATGAACTGAGGGAGATCCAAGCGAAGCAGAGCAATAAGAAGAAACAAGCCACCGTGAGTCCAATAAATGTACAGTAATTTTTTTTGTCTGATTTATTCATTATGCTTTTATGTGCTATTAGTTATCGTTTATTTATTCTTTTTCGTTCGTTATCTGTTGCTGAGTATCGTTAGTTTTTATTATACATATATATATATATATACATATTATCTGTATTATTTGCATGTCAGAGTTATAGAATCCAAGAAACTTTTATAGAGCTACAGAACAGAATTGACAAAACGATCAAGTGTCATAGAAATGTTCAAACCGCGACAAAGCAGACCGTCCTTATGTATTATATATATATTTACCAGAGATGGTAAACGTTTCTCTTATATTTAGGTGAAGCCTATCTCAGCCGCCGATCAGAAAACTCTCTACTCAGCCATTGCTATGGCACAGGAATTGACAGCACGTTCCATGACAGATCTTGAACATCCACCGGAGTCTCCCCGAACACCCGCCAGTCCTTCAAGACGCAGAAAGTTCTCTTTTAAGTTGCCACATCAACACAGTCCCAAACCAGACAGACGACACTTTTCAGAGGAAGCTGCCAGTATACCTGACATACAGGTACATTAAACAGTTTTTGTTTCATCACTAAACTTAAAAAAAAAAAAAAATGATTACACATATAACAGAATACACGAACTAACTTTGCACTCAGAGACTAACTTGATTTATTTTCTTCTTTTTATCAAAAACTAATAACCAATATACGAGAACAAGTACTCCCTTTATGTACTGCCAAATTAAAAGAAAGGTTTCTTTTTGAACAATAATGCTTCCGATACAGATACATCTTATCTCTCTATACAACATTGAAATTCATTTAATGGAAACTGTTATGGAACAGAGTTAATTCCTGATGCCACATGAAAGAGTAGGTATACCGCAATTGTATCTGTTCTTGATATTCCAACCTAATTTACTTGTTTGTATCTTAAGTTGATACTCAAATGCTTGTTAATTTATGACAAAGACTAATCTCGACTTTCCTCTGATCCTTTCCTATCTGTTTATTTATCTGTTTTATTTCTTAAAATTATTTTGTTATTCGTTTCATGTTTTATTTATCATTGCATTGCCATATTTAATCCATTCTTTGATTTCTGCGTACTGTACATAAAACCATCATCAAACTTCTTACGCCTTACCCAATGTGCTTTACTCATTCCTGCATGGTTGTTTCTAATTACGGCTTGTTATTTATTATTTCCTCTATCGTGTAATACCATTGTTGACTGATAAAGTGGTTGTGTTCGAGCCTGCAATCATTGTCATCCACCGTCTCTAGTATAGAATCACTTGGTGCACCGTCCACTCTAAAGTTGCCATTGTGGGACAAAGCATCAGCTGAATTTTGTTTCGCCAAGTCACGAGAACTTCTGACTAAACCCACTGCATGGACTTCGTACATGGACATAGAGTTTGATGCTCACATATTGGACAACGCAGCCATGAGGCAGAATCTTGTGAAGTCCACTGAGTTCTTGGAGAATGGTAACAAGAAAGGCAATTATAATTGTGAAACAATGACGGATACGAGTGATAAGCTAAACGTTCTTCAGCAAAATGGCAAAGTACCTCCTCTGAGTATAGAGAATTCAAATTTCGACTTTTCCCGAGACCAGAAGAGAGTGTCTACCAGTTACGTGGATCGTTATTTTGAGCAATCAAAGTATTTCGATGACGACGGTGCTCTAAGCTGTACCACTGAGAAGACACCATACTTCGGAGAGGAGAAGATGGATAAATACGATAAGATCAACAATTTGGAGCAACCTAACAGACCAGGTTGTTACTCAAACATCCAGGATGGTTCTGCGAACAAGCACAGTCAGCAGTTGTCAAATAAATATGGTAATTGTGATCAGCAGCTTAACGACGTACAGTGCGAGGAAACGAGCTTTGATTTAATGAAAGACAAACCTGTGAACTTTGAGTTCCCACGTAGTAAGCCAGTTAAGTTTGATTCGTCCAGGGACAAGGTAGCCAATATAGATCTTGGTACCAGGCCCAAGATCTCCAGTTCCTTCAGCGATTCCTCTAAGATGAACATTCCAGAATTCCCAAAGAAGATAGATGTGTCGAAGAACAGGGGTGGGAAGGTAGCTTTCGCTTCAAGAAACAGCAATCAGGAACCTAAGAGTGTGATTTATGGATCCACGGATAGCATAAAGACTAATTTGAAAGCTGGAGAATCAGAGAACTCAAGAGCAAACATGGAAGCGGTGAGGATCAATATACAGAGCTTCCGTAAGATAGAACAGAATCAGAATGGCCATGATGGTTTCCCTTTTGTAATATCCAACAATCCCTTGTTCATAGCTGAGTCTGAGAAAAAGGAGTCGCCTGTTTATAGCAGCTCAGAGAGCCTGCGAGTAAATTTTCAACGACTCAGACGAAAATCAGACGCAGAGGCTAATAATCAGGTTGAATTGAACAGCAAACTGCTGGCAGAGAAGTATCAACGCGAGGTGTCTGGTTTGGAGAGCGTGAAGAATTACCTGGACTCCAAGAAGGGCCAGGGACTGAACCTGGGTCTGGGTAAGCTGACGCAGAACATGATCCAACTTGGCAAGAACATTGCGCAGAACTCAAGGAACATAGAAACCACTGCGTCCAAGTCATTGGTGACAAACATGAGGAATCTGGACATATCTGGGCAAAGTCAGACACCTCTCAGGAGCTTGAACATTCCTACGCAGAAGCCTAAGCACCTGGACTTGAACATTCCTCTTCAGTGTCAGTCACAGATCAGCATGAAGCTGAATTTAATGCAGAAAAGCAATCCCCCATCCAGTCCCACCATACACCAACATATTCTGGAGCCACCAAAGTTGTATCAGAACGACAATACAAGAAAGGAGGTGGCGAAGACTGATGTTCTGTTGGAGAAAATGTCTACCACCACTACAAACATGTACAGACACAGAACCTCGTCCCTGTCAGAGAACAGAAAACCACCGATGAAGAACATAAGGAGGTCCTTTCATCCAACGAACGATTCCAGCGAAGATTCAGACTCCATATCCCATTCAGAGACTGACATAAGAAGTCGTCTGCGTTACAAGCGACGCCATAAGAAGGTTCCCCACAACCTGCGCCTGAACTTCAAGAACAAAGGACACTTCTTGCATCCTGAATCAGCCAGAGGCTTCTCGTCGATAGAGCTCTGTGGGAAATCACCACCACCTTCGACCAGCTTCTTGAACTCCTTGTCACCGCCTTTCTCTTCCAGAAACAACTTGCTCTCTTGGCCAGAAAGTGCCCCCAGTTCTAGTCTGACGTTCACCAGCAACTCGGACCTGGATTCAGACACCAGCTCTGAGTATCCAGAGTTCACCAGCGACATACTGACTTTCCCACCGTCTCCTGCCCCGTAAACCCTAACTGATTTCTAACGCCATCCATCTGATTTGAGATCCAATACCTCTGTAATGTGTTATCATCAGTTCGCTGAGTGCATGTTCATTGGCAGAAATACGTGGGATAACGCCAGAGTTGGGCAGTATATTTCAAATTTTTCTTTTGTTTTTTATCTTAATGATTTTGATGGTGGTAAAAAGGGCATAATGGTATAAGCAGTCTCTTTGCTGGCGTATCATCTTCAAACTTATCTTTCTTCTAATAATTGAAAGTTGTAATTAAAGCTATAAGATTTTGCTCAACAACAGTGATGGAAACGATGGCTAACACCACATTCTAGGATGGTGTAGGTGACATAGGAACGCTGAGGATCACAATAACCCAACTCTGGACAATACGCAGTGTACTTAATACAAGGAACTGTTCCAAGACAGTTTCGTGTCGCATACGCTTAGCATGCTTGCATGTTATTATTATACATACTAATTAAAAACTAATGTCTAGCGGGTAATACGTTTGGATGCATTTACACGTTTATACTGTTTGTACTTGGAGAGAAAATTGGAATGAGAATCCTAGAGTATGTTGATCAGACCTGTACAGTTCAACTGTAACACACGTACACACGAATCTTCGCCCACACACGACTCTCTGCATCCGTTTCGTTTAGAGTAGCGTTTATCGTTTCTGACGTCTCTGACCGGCCTATAATTCCACCATCGCGACGACGGTATCGCGCCGTCGACCACCACCAAGGGTGTTTTCTTCATTCCTACTCGTTTGCGGTCTTTCTTTCAGTTCAGAGAAGATCCAAAGCTTGTTGTGTGTACACGCTGAAGAACAAGAATGTTTCTTTCAAACCATAGTCTCTTTCTCTGTCTCCTCTCATTCGTTATTTTCGTTTATTTAATTTCTGTTCTCTTCTTTCCCAAATCTATCCCCTCCCACGACTTGTTTAGGCTACGTTGTCCGACGAGGCCAAGGAAGTGTACAACAGTCTAGTGGAGACGCCCAGCATAGAGGCTGCTCCGGATACGAATCCTTTGCGCATGCTCCGCTCGGGCGTCCCTATAGTGAGGCCAAGAATCCGCGGGAACAAGCACGCGACTCTGGGCCACACGGTGTCCCATCAGGAGGATCTGTCCAGCGAGACGTTCCACTTCGACGCGTACAACAGTGGCTCGAAGACGTTGCCCAAGATCAGGGCACCGCCGCCCCCCCACGCACCGCCTCCTCTTCCCCAGACGCGACACCTGGAGAGGCATCATTCCGCCCAGGAGATCGAGAACAATCAGAATCAAAGTAACGTGGACGAGAACCCTATACCACTGCCCCCCAGGGACAGGTCGAAAACGTTGCAGCCAAAGTCTAGTTTGCCCAGACATCAGAGGAAGCATCCCTTGATCATACCTGGTGGTGGGGTCACAAGGACATTGGCTAAGATGGCGGTGACCACACCGCCTATAGAGGATCAGGTCGATGGTAGTCTGCAGAGTGCCAGCTCATCGGTGGCCAGTAGCTCACTACAGGAGGACTATTCGTCGGAGACCTCGGTCAACAGGTAGACCCTCAAGTTTCTATAGCGTCTAATAGATTTATAAGAGATTTCATTCGGCTGTTACTTCGTTTTCAGTCCAGAGGAATTTGAACAGCGTATAGACTCCGAGTTGGCAGCACTGGACACTCTTCCAACCGATGAGAACAAGCTGCACCGTTTCAGTGTCATCTCTGAAGACCTGCTCGAGTTCTCGGATAACCTGATCGACTGCGACACCTCGGATAACCTTGTCGACTGCGACACCTCGGAGTACCGACAGAATAGCCAGGAGAGCAGGAGCGACGCACAGTCCACAGACTCGGATCGCCAACAGAGGAAGATCAGCGTCGAGTCCAAGTGTTCCTTCAGGAGTTCAGCCTCCAAATGTATCCAAGAGAGCGAGACAGGTGAGGCGAGTAGGAACTCTACCCCCACAGGTTCAAGCAGATCAGAGGATTCTGTTGTGTCCGGCAAAGCGGAGCCCAAGCTTCAAACGTCCAACGCAAGGACACCGTCGGTACAGAGACCTTCGAATTACACGATGCAGTACGACTATGGGGAGTATCCGGAGGGTGGCTCACAGAGCAGAACGAGCAAACAGCCAGCAGAAGTCGCAGAGTCGAAAGAGTCTTCCACCGTTGATTCCAACGATAGCTTCCATTCTTCCGGTTTGACCAGCACCTACGACAGGTTGTCGAACGAGAAACTGTCGGCTCACACGAGCGATTTGTCGCGTCAGTCGGATCACGTGTCATGCGAGGATCTTCTGGAGTTCGCCTGCGACGGGCCAAACGCGAGGAGGACCCGTGGCCCTCGCAATGGCAAGCAGTCCGACGAGGTTAGGATCATGATGAAGGTATTGCACGAACATTCCACCCCCGAGTCGTGCATAGCCGCGTTGAATGTCACCGATTGGGACGTACTGGCGGCGATCAAGCTGGAACGTCTTCAGGGATTGCTGAAGAAAGAGAACAATTTCGTTGGCCTACAGGACTGCAAGGTTATGTTGAACCAATGTGGAGGTGACGTGGTAAAAGCGGCCGCGTTGTTGAGAAGCACCGATGACACGGCTGCTGTTTAATCGCTTTGGTTAACTGGCTTACTCCAGCCAGACGATCATACCAAGCGTTGGAGGTTAGGATGTGGAAGCCATTTTGAGCGGAGTACGCTTCTTGTTCTTGGGACGAAGAAGAGTGGTTAAGTAGTATTTTCGAAAACAAGATGCTTTTTCATTTTTTTTTTCTTGCTTGTGCGTTTAAGTAGATGAATTGATGCAACGTTTATTTATTATTTTAGGATAAAACGAGGATAGTATTCTTTGTTTGTTGCCTAAGGACAGATAGGCGCACAGGTTTAGTGTTTCTCCTGCAGACAAATGGTATATGACGATCCACTGGAAATGAAATACTTAATCAAAATACTCTTATTATTGGTAATGATGTATGAACTTATACTTGGAACAAAACTTGTGTCCTTTTGTGTATATTAGATTTAAGAACGCTCGGACGAGATAACCCTTATTGGTTATTTAGGGAAGCATTTTAATTCCTCTGAAGATCTTCCACTGGCACTTACATGACATAGATGTTACATTAAATATTCCCTTTCTGGTGGATCGGATTCTATAGAGTAATAGCTTTTTTTTTTTTTTTTTAATTTAATTTAACTTTTAGCAAGAAATTCTGTTTCTGCCTTGTTTAATGCAAACGTAATGTGATAATTTGCACAATAAACGTATCGGGTTTTGTGATCTAATAACCGTGTGGAATAGAAACGTAGCCGAATGTGTACGTACAGGGTGTTTGAAAAAAAAAAGAATTGCAAAGTCCTTTACCATTTTGCAGTTTTCGGATTGTAATCTTTGAGACACTCTGTACATATTTTACAGTTACTAATTTCATGAGTAAATGAAATCGAAGCATCTACCAGCGGAAGTGTACAATTTCACGCATGGTAAATGTGTACACTGAGTTGCATTGAACTTGTCGCAGTGAAGTTGGCTACAAATTCACTAGCGCATTCACGCCGCGTCGGTGAGTGAATGCGTGGCCAACTTCACTGCGACAAGTTCAATGCAACTCATTGTATGTACGCGTACTGTAACGACACTTCGATCATGACATGTTTGCAAATTTTTAGTTAAGCGAGCGTGTCGAGAGAAAGTATTACGAAAGCTATTGATTAAGCAGCGAATCAATCCTTGTGTCGCGTGATACAGTGATCAAATCCATTGTAGACGATCTTGCGTTTCTTCGTACAGAAAAATCTGATTCTCTCTGTTTAAAAGTACCTTCGAAAGTACAGGAAAGCATGCGTTTTGTAAAAGACAATCATTGCGTAGTACTCAACGCTGTTCCGCGAACATGAGATTAACGTTCGAAGCGATTCAGAACCATTTATACCTGAATAACTTCACTGTTTTCAAACAATATCATCGGCGGAAAGAGAAATTTCGATTCCAAAGATAATATTCAGACGGTATTATTGTTTGGTATCATACGCGCACCGTAGTTTAGCGTTTTCACTGTAATTCATCATACCATGTTTCAATAATGAGAGACAACGCTCCTCTTGTAACGGTGGATCGGTGGATTCTCAAGACTTTTCCTGTATTAAGTGCGAATTTAATCTCATAAGTAATAGTATTTAGATGTGTATGAAATAGTGATGTGCGGCCCGACTAGTCGGGTCGGTTCGGAAGACATCGGGCGGGCTCGGGCGGGTGTCCGACTGTTTCGGGTCAGGTCGGATAAAGTCGAGCGGATTCGGACGAGCTCCCGCGGAACGCGGCCTAATTCTTATGTACTTATTAATACTTGCAATAAGCATGCGCAAAATCTGTTTTATGTGGAATTTTGGAATAAGATAATTTTTATATGGAAAAATAATACTTGTAAAGAATTTATTTGAAATGAATTTCATTCCATGCCACCTGTATGTTCATTTTATACAAAATAGATTTTGATCATGCTTATTGCAAGCATTAACAAGTACACGAGAGTTGGTACCGCGGGAGCTCGTCCGAATCTGCCCGACTTTATCCGAGCTGACCCGACTGCACGCGTGCATCGGACACCCGCCCGACCCTGCCCGATTTTTCCCGAGCCCACCCGACCCCGTAATATCGGGTACCCGCGCATCCCTAGTATGAAATAATCATGGTTAATGGTTAGCACAAACAAGAGAGAGAGAGTGAGAATGAGAAAATGATGCTTGTTATAATAATTGTATTACGGTCCAAGATCAAACAAGGATGATCCTGGATAAGTATTGGAAGTGCAGAACATTTTGTAGAACGTAGCCAACGTTGCAAGTAAACGTCCTTTGTATTTGACCCGGTAGTAGGGTACGATAAAACCACCAAATATTATGTATGAAATCTCTGTGTTCAGTAAGATTGATTTTTATATTTTGTTAGAGAGCTTTCGCGTTAATCTTGTTAAGTTGTAAGAAATCTGGGTGATCATGGGGGGGGGGATAATTATTGTTAGAGAGCGTGAATTGAATTCAATTTGATTTATAACCTCTGTAAGAATATCAAATGAATAGGCACTGTTCATTTGATGTCTCAGGTAGAAGAAATTTCACTTTTTTCCTCGTGTGTAGTTTCTTGGACATCATGCAAATTAATGTTACATATTTTTCTTTTCTTTTTCACACAGTGTTCGCTGTATTACTATAATGGATTGCATGACTTCTGAGATACTTGGCACATTGAAAATGTTCAGCAGCCATAAGAGTCGAAGAACATATCCAGAATCAGATTCCCTTGGACTCGAGGCAAATGTCCAGTACTGTACCGCTTGATTGAGTAATATTTTTCCATGTATATCTTTTGTACCAGAGTCTTTTCTACGAGATACTTCCTTTTGGGTGATGTTGTTCGAGTCCAGGCGAATTGGAGAATGAAAATTGCTCACCGTACTTTCGTATAGCGCGTTTGTAAACGTTTTATTAAGGAAAACGTGATGGAAAAAAAGGGATAATGTTAATTGGATATCCTTGCCGACCGTACTTTTGTATCCTTCAACGAAGCCAAATAGGAGCTTACGAAAATCGCCTAAGTAATGTTACTTAGTATCATTTTGTAATAACGTTGAACAATAAGGTTTTCGGTTCCTGAATAAAAATACGCGTATCGTGTATTTTTCTTTTTTATGCTGAATAGACTCTCTTTTCTCTGTCACGTATTGGCTCTAACAAAGACAGGGCATTAGAGCAACAATATCCTAATGGAATCATGAAAGCTGAAACTAGTTTTTAAGTATTGGGATACGTACAAGTACAGTTTAGTAAGCAATTCTCTAGTTATTACCTAACATATTGAAGTTTCTAAAACGCTACTTTCTTATGGTATAACCCTTCAGTTTTCTGATACTTCATTGAATATAGTTATTCCCATTACAAACTGTGAAAGAATAATTGACAAGATACTTCAGGCTGATACGTGAATGGAAAGAGAGCTTAGAAATAAAGGTAGAGTGTTCAGTATAAAGAGATCAATTATTTTTGCGCAGGAACCACTAATGAACTAATTAGATTCAGCTCGTTCGAAGAGCAATCCACCTCGATCAGTTTTCCTGAGCCAATGTACTTAGTCGATTCTCGAGGAGAGAGAAGTAGATGAAGAAATTTTTGATAATCCCCGACATCGGAGATAATGTAGGGATCTTTACACGTTTGTAAGGTTCGTTTCACGCAAGATCGTTGCGCCCGATAAAATCTGTACGCATCGAAGAACACGGTTGCGTCTTGCGAACGGATCCAACGACCTCGGGGATAATAATCGAAATTAAGCTCGCCAAGTCTCCTGAAGGAAGAACCGATGCCTATCTTACGCAGTAGGAGTATGTTCATCCTATAATCCGTTTTTTTATACGCGATTCTTAATACGATAAGGCAATACGTTTGTACGTCTCTACAATTATTAACGCGCGGAAACACGAGGATGTTTTATATCGACTGTATTTACGATAATATATACACATTCATAATTGAAAACGAAGTTTTTGCTTTCGTCGAGACTGCATTACCGACCGAGCGATTTTATTTTTATCAAGAAATTTAAAAATGAAAAAGGGAATTGTACGTCGACAGTGATGGATTGATAGTTTGAAGAATGATCAGAAGATGTAAACAAACGTGTTGGTGAAAGCTGACCAGTTGAAATTGACACCATTGAGGTAAACCGCCATTTCTTTTAACTATACGGAGTGTCTCGTAACTCCTGTAACACCCGGAAATGGGAGATTTCTGGGATGATTCTGAACAACTTTTTCCTTTACCAAAATGTTGGTCGAAGCTTCGTTTTTGAATTATTAAAGAAAAACTCTAGCCATTGAGAGCGCGGGCTTAGCCGCGGGAGCGTTGGTTCTGAACCGCGCTCGGTCGTGAACAAACGCATTGGCACAGCGCGGGTATCGAGGGGAGAAAAGATGTAAGAGGAGTTTCTCTCTCTTTTCAATACCAGAGAAGTGGGGAGAGCCTGCGCAATATGATTTAAATGCGCAGACGACGCTAATGTGGTATAACAATTAAAAACTTACAATTGGCATTACAACATATACTGAAAGCTGATAAAATGTTTCTTCTAAAAATAACATGAAATTTTATTCTTTTAGAATATTTCGTAACTGTCGTTTATTATTAATATATAGGAACATAAAAAGAATCAAGTCATAATTTGCTGAAATAATAATCATTATTTATTGACCTTGAAATAGAGTTATTTTTGGTTATGTACTTTATAGTGTTCCCTACTTCTCCGGCACTGAAAAATTTTAATTTTTTATATTTTTATTTAACATTTTATTTAATATAATCCTATTGCAAGTGATAAAAAAAATATCTATATATTCAAATTCCCATTTGGGGAAAGTTCCCATCTGAAGTTAGTTGCACGCTTCTCTCGATACCCACGCCGTGACAAATGCGTTAGTTCACGACCGAGCGCGGTTCAGAGCCAACGTTCTTGTGCTTGAGCGCGCGCTCTGATTGGCCAGTGTTTTTCGTTAATAATTCAAAAACGAAGCTTCAATCAACATTTTGGTAAAGGAAAAAGTTGTTTAGAATCACCCCAGCAACCCCTTATTTTCAAGTGTTACAGGAGTTATGAAACACCCTGTATTTATTTTAAACCTAACCACATTTCACATTGTTATTATTTTTCTAGTAATATTTGACTGGTAATCGCCAGTTATTTTGGTTAATTACCAAAATGTATATGAATAACAAATTCAAATCAGTACTTTAATATTGCATTACAACTGAACAGGAGAGTTGATTTTCATTATTACCCTAGTCGCTGTGACGGAAGGAACGTCTAAAGAGATTATCGTTGCATAGCAAGAGAATGTAGCACGTTGCACCACGAGTGCAAGGTAATAGGAATGTCAGCTGTATATTACAAGCAACTCCTGGAGAGTATTGTGTTTGGAGGAATGTTTCGTGAGCCACGCTTTCTAAGTATATTTCAATTTATTTCTACATGTAATCTGTTGCGCAACGGTGTTTCAGATGGTCAATACACTTTTACTTTTATTTCAAAAATCGGTAAAATTTGGAATCATCAAAAATTGACTTATTACAAATCTAATAGTAATTTTTCTTAAAAATATAGTGTTTTCTGCGCTCGCCACTAGAGGGCCATCCAGGTTATGTACTTTCTCACAAGTCCCTGTTTAATCATCCATCAAAGACCTAAGGCTTGAATGGGACACCCTGGAAGTTGAACACCCTATTGCAATCTTCTTTGAAGCATGCTTTATTACAAAAATTCAGAGTTGGCTGCTGAATTCTGGGAATAGAAATCTAAGTGCTGAGTATAGAATTCTTTATATAAACATTGAGATTCCAAAACCAATGTTTGAAAATTGAGAACTGGTGATACAGAATGGAACATCCTCCTGAGAGTTGCATTTGAAAGGACATTATAGACCTTTTCCCAGGATCTGGATTCGCGTTTTCCGCACACTGGACGCTCTTCTTTTTTTTCTTCATTTCACAAACGTCACGTTGCATGGCAACAAGCCTCTCTGGACCGGCCGGTGGATCTTAGCGGTCAGTGCAACATAACTGCACTTACCGCTCGGTACAGCCGGCTCTCGCGATGTTACCGTATATTTCTGATGTGCACCATATATCAGAGCCTCTGAAATCGAATTTTTTTCAGGGCTACTATACGGGCTGGTGCGCAGCGACCAGTGCACGTGCTTGTAAATTGTCGAGCGATTCAGTTGTGCAGGCATCTGGAACGAGAAGATGAAGAAAACCATGAGAAACCATGAAGGACTTCTTCCTATGACGTTAAAACGCTTTAGGAAGTCCTGGAAGAAAACAGGAAATCCTGAGAAATTATTTTTCAAAAACATTCTCAATGTCGATAGAGAATTTTTGTACAGGTGTATAAATTATTAGTATTATGCATTTTTAATTAATAATTTTAATATTTTCTCGCGGTTTTGAACATTTGAAAAGTGCTAAGACAATATAATAACAATAAACATTATTTCAATAATTGGAATTGTTATAGCTCTTTAAAAATAAATCTTTAATTAAAATAAAAGGCACCGAATTAATTTGTACACCTAATAGATTAGGAAGCGCTGGTTGAATGAAATAGGAGACAGGAAATGAACAGTTCCAACGACCCTATTTTCATAACACACTCGATGAATGCTAAACTCCTGATTATGTTAAATCAACCATGAAATTTTGACCTGTATTTAATCCGGATCCACTTCAGGGACTATTAACCACCGCAAATTACCTCAGCCTAATCAATAACCCAAATTCTAGATTTTATGAGAAGAAGGATTTCAATTTTTAATGCTGAGATATTCATAGACTTTGAATATATGAACTTAGAAATTGAAGAATTCCAATATTTTCAAAGCTGATAAACTTAAGAAGTTTGGAACCCAGAAACTCCCAAGTTGAAGAACCTTAGAATTTAAAAGTGTACAAGCTTTAAAATCTCGAGAATTCAAGAATTAGTAGCTTTAAGAACTCATGACTTCAATTTAGAAACTTAGAAATTGAAGAATTCCAATATTTTCAAAGCTGATGAACTCAGGAAATTTGGAACCCAGAAGCTCCCAAGTTGAAGAACCTTAGAATTTAAAAGCCTGCAAGCTTTAAAATCTCAAGAATTCAAGAATTAGTAGGTTCAAGAACTCAGGACTTCAATTTAGAAACTTAGAAATTGAAGAATTCCAATATTTTCAAAGCTGATGAATTCAGGAAGTTTGGAACCCAGAAGTTCCCAAGTTGAAGAACCTTAGAATTTAAAAGCCTGCAAGCTTTAAAATCTCAAGAACTCAAGATTTAGTAGGTTTAAGAACTCAGGACTTCAATTTAGAAACTTAGAAATTGAAGAATTCCAATATTCTCAAAGCTGATAAACTTAGGAAACTTGGAACCCAGAAGCTCCTAAGCTGAACAACCTAGAATTTGAAAGCCTGCAAGCTTTAAAATCTCAAGAACTCAAGAATTAGTAGGTTTAAGAACTCAGGACTTCAATTTAGAAACTTAGAAATTGAAGAATTCCAATATTTTCAAAGCTGATGAATTCAGGAAGTTTGGAACCCAGAAGTTCCCAAGTTGAAGAACCTTAGAATTTAAAAGCCTGCAAGCTTTAAAATCTCAAGAACTCAAGATTTAGTAGGTTTAAGAACTCAGGACTTCAATTTAGAAACTTAGAAATTGAAGAATTCCAATATTCTCAAAGCTGATAAACTTAGGAAACTTGGAACCCAGAAGCTCCTAAGCTGAACAACCTAGAATTTGAAAGCCTGCAAGCTTTAAAATCTCAAGAACTCAAGAATTAGTAGGTTTAAGAACTCAGGACTTCAATTTAGAAACTTAGAAATTGAAGAATTCCAATATTTTCAAAGCTGATAAACTCAGGAAGTTTGGAGCCCAGAAGCTCCCAAGCTGAACAACCTAGAATTTAAAAGCCTGCAAGCTTTAAAATCTCAAGAACTCAACAATTAGTAGGTTTAAGAACTCAGGACTTCAATTTAGAAACTTAGAAATTGAAGAATTCCAATATTTTCAAAGCTGATAAACTCAGGAAGTTTGGAGCCCAGAAGCTCCCAAGCTGAAGAACCTTAGAATTTAAAAGCCTGCAAGCTTTAAAATCTCAAGAACTCAAGAATTAGTAGCTTCAAGAACTCAGGACTTCAATTTAGAAACTTAGAAATTGAAGAATTCCAATATTTTCAAAGCTGATAAACTTAGGAAACTTGGAACCCAGAAGCTCCTAAGCTGAACAACCTAGAATTTAAAAATAGAATTTAAATTGTTAAATTATGGTCGTTGAATCTTAAGTATTTAATTTAATTTAATTGTACAATAATTAAATTTACTTTAATTGTACAATAAGTTCATGCAATCTGAGATACATGGAATGTACAATAAGTTGAAATTGAGAGATTGGACATAATTTGACAATCTACAATAGGTGCTCAGTGTACCAGGTAGATAGAACAGATTGGAGCTGACTTAACAGGACCTTGGGAGCACGTTGGCTCGCTATAAGCGGCTGTATTTCCGGGCTAGGTAGCCGACAACCGGTCTATCCGATGAGCTGGTCCCTTCTATTCACACCAGAAACTGTCCACCTTGCTGGTGGACTGGTCAGGTGATTAAAGTGCAGCCAAGTGCGGTTCGTCGCTGAGAATTGTAAATGCTTGTCCTTGCAGATGGAATACATTGAAGATGGAACGTCCTCGACGATTCTTAATTTATAATTAAATTCAGATTCACTCAGATGAAGAGAAAATGTATGCAGAGAAGAATTATGGCTTGAAACGAAACTGGATATTTATATTTGATGAATGGTTAAATGAAAGTTCTTTTTTTTTTTTTTCATGGTAAGAGTTTGAAAGTAAAAGGTGTACCAATACTTTGAGAGTCGAGGATTAAGATTTAAGCTTCAGGTTTAACAATGAAATTACAAAATCTTTGGAATTAAAATTGCAAATGTAAATCTTTGATTATGTTGTCAGGATGCAATTGAATGTTATCATTGACAAAGAAGAAAAGAAGAATATCCGTGCTTGTACACGAGCCGTTCAATTGCGAGGAAGTGAAGTGCATACTGCGTGAATTCTGCTGGCAAGTCCTATCCGTTAGACACCGAATGAATAATTCATTGGGAAGCGAGGCTTGAATCATCGACGCCAGGCTAGAATCCAGCTTGTCTGTGAATCCTTCTTTTTCTCTCTGATAATTGGTCGTTAACGACGATTATGTCCGCGACCGGTATTAATCAGATAGCCCGTTTTGATAATGGGCTTTAGAAATCACCATAGATTGATGCTCAAAGGAGAATCTCTTGTATACATGATCATTTCAATTTCGTGCTCGGCTAAGAGCGAAGCTACGGAACCGTATGATGTTGCATACTCAATTTCTTTATGTAACAGTGAAAATATCAGGTGTATGCAAAAATTGTAGCAGTACTGCTCTTTACAGTCTATGAAACATTGTATGTATATTTAAATAAAAGCAGAATAATTTAAATGATTCTCTTTAAAAATATAATATTCTTGTATTATTAATCTGTTACTTTTTCATATCAGGTGTATGCAAAAATTGTAGCAGAACTGCTCTTTAAAATCTATGAAACATTGTATGTATATTTAAATAATTTAAAAGATTCTCTTTAAAGATATAATATTCTTGTATTATTAATCTCTTATTTTATCATATCAAGTGTATGCAAAAATTGTAGCAGAACTGCTTTTTAAAGTCTATGAAACATTGTATGTATATTTAAATAATTTAAAAGATTCTCTTTAAAGATATAATATTCTTGTATTATTAATCTCTTATTTTATCATATCAGGTGTATGCAAAAATTGTAGCAGAACTGCTCTTTAAAATCTATGAAACATTGTATGTATATTTAAATAATTTAAAAGATTCTCTTTAAAGATATAATATTCTTGTATTATTAATCTCTTATTTTATCATATCAAGTGTATGCAAAAATTGTAGCAGAACTGCTTTTTAAAGTCTATGAAACATTGTATGTATATTTAAATAATTTAAAAGATTCTCTTTAAAGATATAATATTCTTGTATTATTAATCTCTTATTTTATCATATCAGGTGTATGCAAAAATTGTAGCAGAACTGCTTTTTAAAGTCTATGAAACATTGTATGTATATTTAAATAATTTAAAAGATTCTCTTTAAAGATATAATATTCTTGTATTATTAATATCTTATTTTATCATATCAAGTGTATGCAAAAATTGTAGCAGAACTGCTTTTTAAAGTCTATAAAACATTGTATGTATATTTAAATAATTTAAAAGATTCTCTTTAAAGATATAATATTCTTGTATTATTAATATCTTATTTTATCATATCAGGTGTATGCAAAAATTGTAGCAGTACTGCTCTTTAAAGTCTATGAAACATTGTATGTATATTTAAATAATTTAAAAGATTCTCTTTAAAGATATAATATTTTTGTATTATTAATCTCTTATTTAATTATATCAGGTATATGTAAAAATTGTAGTAGAACTGCTTTAAAGTCTATGAAACATTGTATGTATATTTATTTTAATGACGAATAACCACAGAATAATTTAAAAGATTCTTTTTAAAGATACAATATTCCTGTATTATTAATCTTTTACTTTATCATTGGATTCCTTTGTGTAGTGTATGATGCAAGAGCGTGTGGGATCCCTGATAAAACAAGGATTACTGTGGAAGAATAACATAAGAACAAAGTAGAAATGTATTTAAAAATGCTTATTCACCTGTTAAAGTAACTCTTTGGTAACAGACTATTATTAAAACAGAGATACATGTTTTAGGTTGTAAATAAAGAGGAGCATTGATGAAAGAGAAGTAAAAAAGGAGGTATTCTAGAAAGTGAAACGAGGATTGAAGAATGGTAGTGAAACCGTTGAAAGGAAGAAAAAAAAATATATATATGGAAGCGACAAAGGATGAGCACGGAGAATGTGTAGAATTTGGAGAGAGGCGAACGCGAGGCGCATAATTAATTTTTATTGACGTTGTTACACAATTCTGAGAGTAACGCGTGTTCCTTCCCATCGTGGATTCCAGGTGAAAAGCAGCGTCGCTAGCTCGAAAGTGGCGATTACATGAACGGCCACGCTTTGTTATTCCCTTCGCGTGGTTTCTATTTGAAAATTCGAATCGCCTGTTCGCGAACTCGCCGCTTGATTTTCGATTCGAGAATCACGCCCCGTATGTCGCCGATTCGACGCCACGTACGACATCAACGGGGAACTCCGGGGAATTCGAATGCAGTAGATTTGCTGTTTCTCAGTATTAGATGCATGTTCAACACCTTGTATGTACAATGTTTCTTTTCATTAGTTGTTTATCACTTTGCAGGTTACCATGGGGATGTAGTAAAAACTGATGAGAAAATTAGCAATTTAAAAGCTTGCAAACTGAGGAATTTAAGAATTTAAATTCAAGAACTTGGAAATTTAAGAATTTAAGTTCAAGAGCTTGGAAATTTATAAATTGAGGGGTTAGGAGCTGATAAACTTAGGAAACTTGGAACCCAGAAACTCCCAAGCTGAAGAACCTTAGAATTTAAAAGCCTGCAAGCTTTAATATCTCAAAAATTCAAGAATTAGTAGCTTCAAGAACTCAGGACTTCAGGTTAGAAACTTAGAAATGGAAGAATTCCAATATTTTCAAAGCTGATAAACTTAGGAAACTTGGAACCCAGAAGCTCCCAAGCTAAAGAACCTTAGAATTTAAAAGCCCACAAGATTTAAAATCTCAAGAATTTAAGAATTAGTAGCTTCAAGAACTCAGGACTTCACTTTAGAAACTTAGAAATGGAAGAATTCCAATATTTTCAAAGCTGATAAACTTAGGAAACTTGGAGCCCAGAAGCTCCCAAGCTGAAGAACCTTAGAATTTAAAAGCCCACAAGCTTTAAAATCTCAAGAATTCAAGAATTAGTAGCTTCAAGAACTCAGGACTTCAGTTCAGAAACTTAGAAATTGAAGAATTCCAATATTTTCAAAGCTGATAAACTTAGGAAACTTGGAGCCCAGAAGCTCCCAAGCTGAAGAACCTTAGAATTTAAAAGCCCACAAGCTTTAAAATCTCAAGAATTCAAGAATTAGTAGCTTCAAGAACTCAGGACTTCAGTTTAGAAACTTAGAAATGGAAGAATTCCAATATTTTCAATGCTGATAAACTTAGGAAACTTGGAACCCAGAAGCACCCAAGCTGAAGAACCTTAGAATTTAAAAGCCCACAAGATTTAAAATCTCAAGAATTTAAGAATTAGTAGCTTCAAGAACTCAGAATTTCAATTTAGAAACTTAGAAATTGAAGAATTCCAATATTCCCAAAGCTTAAGCTTTATTTCCAAATCGTATTTCCCAGAGTATTTACTTTAAAATAGAAATATTATTTGGGTCGTGTGATTAAAAAAGAAAAAACGGCGTCTATCGAAACGCATGCGGGGCTCGCCGGTGACTCGATGTCGGTGCCCCCGTAATTTTCGTGGGGGTCATTATCACCGGGCGCACTCGCGCTCGAGGTAAGATTCTGAGCGCAGCCTTCAGTACAGTTATAACTTCGCTACGAGGCTGACGTCTCTCGAGCCCGCTCGCTAGAACTCGTATCACACAATTGTTTCGCAATTAACTCGCCTACCGTCACGGTTCCCTTCGGTCGTTCCTCCCCCCGAGTTCAACATTTTCAGAAAGAAAGAAAAAGTAATTGAAGGTTCGAGTGTCCGTTGTTTATCTTGTGACAAACTGAAACCGTGTCTATCCCTTCAGGTGGATGTTCTTGAAAGTGATCCCCACAGGCCTGAGAAGGCACGAGGATGGACAAAAAGTGATCGGAGAAGTGTACCGGTGGTCTGAGTTATGAGGTAACCAGTGGGAAGATCTAAAGAGGGGAACAAAATGTTGTGCCTGAAGAAACGTAGGACCTACAGCTTCACGCAGGGTGTCTGCACGGAGCTGCCTAGGCGGACGAAGGAGGATAATCGTCGTTACCAAGGGTCCTTGAACATGGCTATTACGACACTGCCGCGTAAGAACAGGTGAGTCACCCTTCCTGTCCGATTTGTCCGTGCACCGAGTCCAATTTCAATCATCAACGAGAGTTTAGGGTCACTCGGTCTTCTTTTACTCTCTCCTTGCAATCTAAATACTTTCTTTGCTCTGTCTTATACCACTCACTATATCAACAATCTTATTTTAGGTACTTAAGATTATACAATATTATAGAACAATTTGGGTGTCTTAATGTGTGGATGAAGTAGGATTTAGATACCAGCTGCATTGAGGGCTTCATATTTAATAAATTGAGAAAATTGTCTTAGTGACAAATTCAGTTGTAAAACAATGCAGGCACCTTAATATTGATACATCACATATCTTGATAACAAATTCTTCAGATATATACTTATCAGGTATTTCAGAATTTAGACCTGCTTCAAATCAAGTAAATTGAGTACCTTGGTATATAATACTGTTTATAGGGAACTTTCTATAAGGTAATGCAACGTTACTAATACTAGGACTACCGACGTTTGATGCACACTTATTTCCAAGTTGGAAATAATGCAGAAAATTAAATAGGTAAAGGATGGAACATAATTTAATATATACATCCATTCTTTTTCTTGAAAATAGTCAATATACATTTCAACAAAAATACCTCCATAAAATTTATAATTTAAAATAAGAATCTTAAAGCCAGTCCTTTTGACTGCTTTGGTAGTTCTAGTGCTAAACAGCATACTTCATTATAAAATGCACTGTATCAAGTCCTCAATTAAGGACCTTAATATCAAATGCATCATTATATAAATTCTCTAGTATATTACTTCATATAC